TTCAAAGAACCAGTTCTCTGTTCTATTGTTTGTTTGTTTTTAGTTTCATTTATTTCTGCTCTAGTTTTTATTATTTCCTTCCTTCTACTGGTTTGGGGTTTCGTTTGTTCTTTTTCTAGCTCCTTTAGGTGTGTGGTTAGGTTGTTTATTTGAGATTTTTCTTGCTTCTTGGGATAGACCTGTATTGCTATGAACTTTTGTCTTAGAACAGCTTTTGCTGCCTCCCAAAGATTTTGACCACTGTGTTTTCATTTTCATTTGCATGTATTTTTTGATTTCCTGTTTGATTTCTTGGCGACCCATTCATTGTTTAGTAGCATGTTATTTAACCTTCATGTATTTGTGTTTTTTCCAGATTTTTTCTTGTGGTTGATTTCTAGTTTCATAGTGCTGTGGTCAGAAAAGATGCATGGAATGACTTCGATGTTCTTGAATTTGTTAAGACTTGTTTTGTGACTTAATATATGATCTATTCTGTAGAATGTTCCATGTGCGCTTGGGAAGAATGTATATTATTCTGCTCTGTTCTGAATATATCTGTTAGATATATCTTGTCCAGTGTGTCATTCAAAGCTACTGTTTCTTTGTTGATTTTCTGTTTGGATGATCTATCCATTGATATAAGTGGGGTGTTAAAGTCTCCTACTATTATTGTGTTACTGTTGATTATTCCCTTTATGTTTGTTATTAGCTGCTTTATATATTAGGTGCTCCCATGTTGGGTGCATAAATATTTACAGTTGTTATATTTTCTTGTTTTGTTTTTCCCTTTATGATTATATAGTGTCCTTCTTTTTTTCTTGTTACAGTCTTTATTTTAAAGTCAATTTTGTCCATTATAAGTATTGCTACCATGGCTTTCTTTTCATTTTCATTTGCATGATAAATGCTTTTCCATCCCTTCACTTTCAGTCTGCATGTGTCTTTCTTTTTAATTAATTAATTATTTTTAAAGATTTTATTTGTTTATTTGTCAGAGAGAGAGAGAGAGAAACAGAGTGAGCACAGGCAGGATGAGGGGCAGAGGGAGAAGCAGACTCCCTGCTGAGCAGGGAGCCTGATGCGGAACTCGATCCCAGGACCCCAGGATCATGACCTGAGCTGAAGGCAGCTGCTTAACCAACTGAGCATTGTCCCCTGTTCATCGGAATCTGGCACTTCAGGCGTGTCTCCTGTGAGAGTTGCATGTGCCCTGCTGTTGTGGCTGAGCCATGTTTGCCTTCAGTCCAGTCATCTGCAGTGGCTCTCTTTGCCTGTTGTGGGCAGGGTTTGGTCCCTGTGTTATTAGTGGACTGGTCTGGGGACACGTTGGGCTTAAGTTGAGTCAGACCAGGCATTTGCCAGGGATGCAGTAGCACCTAACTGCAGGTGAATGTGGGGGCAGGTTGCTTGGTGCCAGCAAGGTTCAAGCTGACAGGACTGGACCTCCAGCCTGGGGAACTGAGGCAGATTGTGTTGGAGGGGGCAGATCTGCAGAAGTACTCTGGGTTGGGATGCATGGTGTTAGCAAGGTTTACGTGGGTCTGTTGTGAGAGGAGACCTGGATCAGAGGCCTGGCTGGAGGGGGCATGTCAGCTGGAAAACGGGGGTGGGGGGGTAGGGCTGGGGGTGGCGGCAGGGTCAGGGAGAGTGCACTGTTAGCAAGTTAGGTAGCAAGTGTTGGTGCTGCACTGGTTGCCAAAGGTAGTGTGTTTATGCTGGGGGTGAGTCATGAGAATGGTACCTGCTGTAATTCTGTTCCTGGAGAGGTCTCCCAAAGATCCCTGGCTCTCCAGCACATGCTCTGAGATTTGTATAAACAAATCTCCCTCTTGTACACCCCAGGCATTTTTCAAACTGCTGCTTTTGTGCTGTATCTGCATGAGGGCTGTTTGTTTTGCTGTCTCTTTAAGGGCGGGGACTCAGTTTCTCTTGCCCTCCTGGCTCCCTCCTGTCTCTCACTCCTGTCTCTCCCATAAGCCTGCTGATTTTTAAACTTCCAGATGTTAAGCCTTGCTGATTGTTAAGTACTCCTGAAATTCAGCTCCTCTGGTTTTCAAAGCCAGATGTTATGAGGATTGGTCTTCCCTGTGTGGGCTCCCTGGTGTGAGGGTCTGTTTCTCTCTCCTCTCTGTGCCCATGGTGTTCCTCCCTCCTGTGGACAGTCCTGCAGGTCCATTTAGCTCCCAGCCACATCTCTGTCCTTCCTACCTTCTTCAAAGTGGCCTCTTCTCTACATTTAGTTGTGTGGAGTCTGTTCTGCCAGCCTTTGGGTCATTTTCTGGGTTATTTATACTGAATTGGCTGTTACCTAGTTGTGTCCCCGGAATGAGGTGAGCTTATGGTCCTCTCACTTTGCCATTTTCCCCAGAAGTCTCCTGATGTTATGATGTTGTTATTTTTGTGCATGTCTCTTAGTACACATGTACAGGAGTTCCTCTAGGGCATATTCCCAGAAGTGGAATAACTGCATCATTGATATGTGTATGCCCACCTCATTGAATTATGCCATATTGTTTTCCAAAGTGGTATTCCAATTCATATTCTTATCTACTATGTGTAAAATTTACCCTTACTTAACATTTTCAGCAATCTCAGACTTTTTAAAAAAAGTTGCCAATCTGATGTATGTAAAACATTGCTGCTTAAATGATCACATGTAGAAACTGTTACCTGTCCACAATTTAATGAAAGCACTGCTTGCTTTACTGAAGAAGTCTTGTGAAAAAAAATACTGTCAGCTGCAGTAAATAATATACTTAGTAATGTGGTTGATTTACATGCTGATGTAATTTTAATTTACAGGCCAACTGACCACTCTTTAAATAGCAAGGTGGAATAATATTTTATTGTGGTTTACATTAATATTTACCTGATTACTAATGAGATTGTGTGTTTTCCCCTACATTCATGTATCATTTATGTTTCCTCTTAAATTAGAAACTTGTTCATCTCTTTCGTTTATTTTTTATTTTTGTTTTTTATTTTTTTTAAAGATTTTATTTATTTATTTGACAGAGACATGGCAAAAGAGGGAACACAAGCAGGGGGGAGTGGGAGAGGGATAAGCAGGCTGATGCAGGGCTTGATCCCAGAACCCTGGGATCATGACCTGAGCCAAAGGCAGACGCTTAACGACTGAGCCACCCAGGAGCCCCTCTTTCATTTACTTTTTAATTGGTTGATCTTACACATTCTGGATATTAATCCTTTGTTATATAGGTTGCTATTCCGTTCTTCCAGTTTTTGGCTTGTCTTTCACTTTCTTTAATAAACAAATGTTCTTAACACTAATAAGTCACTTTTTGGCTAGTGCTTTTGGGTTTTGTTTGTGAAATTTTTCCCTCCCAAACAGTCAAAAAGATATTTTCCTGCATTCTAAAAGTCTTTAGTTTTGCCATTCAAATGTAAATCTTTTTTTTTTTTTAAGATTTTATTTATTTGAGAGTGAGAGAGAGAGAGAGAGAAACAGCATGAGCGGGGAGAGGGTCAGAGGGAGAAGCAGGCTCCCTGCTGAGCCGGGAGCCCGATGTGGGACTCCATCCCAGGACTCCGGGATCATGACCTGAGCCGAAGGCAGTTGCTTAACCAACTGAGCCCCCAGGCACCCTCAAATGTAAATCCTTAGTCCACCTAGATTTGATGTTTGAGTGTGTGTGTGGTGTGAGATAGGGATCTCAATATACTCTTTTCCATATGGATAATCCCTTTCCTTAATACCACTTAATTGAATTATTTGCATAGTGATTTGTAATAGCATTTGTCACATTTCTGATATCTACATGTGTATGGGTTTGTTGCTGGGCTCTTTTTGCTTTATTAGTTTGTCTTTCTATACGTGTGCCAACAGCCAAGTTTCTTAATTACCATAGCTTCATAACAAGTTGATATCTGTTTGCTGTTATTCTTCAGAAGTACCTTAGGCAACTCTGTGAATGTATAATATATATGTTTATTATGTAAATAAATAAAATATATTATTATTGTTATTAGATTATTTATTTATTTGACAGAGAGAGACACAGTGAGAGAGGGAACACAAGCAGGGGGAGTGGCAGAGGGAGAAGCAGGCCTCCTGCTGAGCAGGGAGCCTGATTTGGGGCTTGATCCCAGGACCCTGGGATCATGACCTGAGCCAAAGGCAGACGTTTAATGACTGAGCCACCCAGGCGCCCCTAAAATTTAAATTAAAAAGAAATTCAGGGTACATATACATATTACATAATAGTAGAGCTAACATACTCTGTTGAGCCTGAACTGGATTAAGTTAAAAATAAATGAAGATGGGGTGCCTGACATGCTCAGTTGGTAGAGCATGTGACTTTCGATCTCGGGGTTGTAAGTTCGAGCCCCATGTTGGGTGCAGGGATTACTTAAAATCTAAAACAAAAAAGTAAATGAAGACAGAATTGTTCAGTTAGATGTTTGATTGGCTTTACTTTCTAGAATTGCGGTTTCTACTCTTAGTGTTTTTGTTTTTAAGATTTATTTATTTATTTGAGAGAGAAAGAGCACAAGTGGGAGGGGCAGAGGGAGGGAGGAGAGAATCCGAAGCAGACTCCACACTGAGCATGGAGCCCAACACTGGACTTGATCCCGCGATCCTGAGATCACAACCTGAGCTGAAACCAAGAGTTGGACACTTAACTGATTGGGCCACCCAGGCACCCCTACTATTACACTTTTTAAAGAATGGTTGAGGGGCGCCTGGGTGGCTCAGTTGTTAAGTATCTGCCTTCAGCTCAGGTCATGATCCCAGGGTCCTGGGATCAAGCCCCGCATCAGGCTCCCTGCTCAGCGGGGAGCCTGCTTCTCTCTCTCCTACTCCCGCTGCTTCTGTTCCCTCTCTCACTGTGTCTCTCTCTGTCAAATAAATAAATAAAATCTTAAAAAAAAAAAAAAGAATGGTTGAGACTCTGAAAATATTGACTATTTTTGTTTTGAAAAACATTGATTAAGAATGTAAAAATTATGGATGTAATGGTTAATATTAATATTTTACATGTTTTTTTCCTTTCAAGTCTTGATACATCATCAAAAGCATAGTCTTTCCAAGATGGCTTATCAGACACCTCTTTATCCTTGTTCTGTATATGTTCAGGTGCCCAGCAGACATTTTGCTGCTGCTACAAAGTAAGTATTTTTTTTTATTAATTTTGTTTGTTTTCATTTAAAATTTTGATTAAAAAACATGCTTTTGTCCCATAAAGATGTACGGGGACATACAGTTGTGAAAGTTTATCATCTCTGCTTTTTTGACCTTTTGTAGTTGTAAAGGAAAATATGACTTATAGTAATACTTAACATTTATTGAACACTGACATTCAATGGCTGATTTATGTTCCACAGCTACTTTATGTGGAAGCTGTTGTTAGCATGTTCTTTTTTGAGTTGAAAAGCATGGCGTTGAAAGATTATGTAACTTGCCTAGGTTCACAGAGGTGGTAAGTGTTGGAGCTAGGACTTTGTGACATAATAAGAAATATTTATATTGGTCTCTGACTCCAGTTCCTGATACAGAGCTCCTAAAACTCCTGTAATCTTCTGAGTGATTTTAAATCCTTCTGAGTGATTTAAATCCTGGATATTAATCCTTTGTTATATAGGTTGCTATTCTGTTCTTCCAGTTTTTGGCTTGTCTTTCACTTTCTTTAATAAACAAATGTTCTTAACACTAATAAGTCAGTTTTGGCTAGTGCTTTTGGGTTTTGTTTGTGAAATTATTCCCTCCCAAACAGTTAAAAAGATATTTTCCTGCATTCTAAAAGTCTTTAGTTTTGCCATTCAAATGTAAATCCTTAGTCCACCTAGATTTGATGTTTGAGTGTGTGTGTGGTGTGAGATAGGGATCTCAGTATACTCTTTTCCATATGGGTAATCCCTTTCCTTAATACCACGTAATTGAACTATTCGCATAGTGATTTGTAATAGCATTTGTCATATTTCCGATATCCACGTGTGTATGGGTTTGTTGCTGGGCCCTTTTTGCTTTATTAGTTTGTCTTTCTATACTTGTGCCAGTAGCCAAGTGTCTTAATTACCATAGCTTCATAACAAGTTGATATCTGGTAAGGCAATTCCCTCCACTAGGAGCATCTATTATTCTAATATTTGGTCTTTGACCCAGTTCCTGATACAAAGCTCCTAAAACCCTTGTAATTTTCTGGGTGATAGGAGCATCTTTTGTTCTAATAAGGAACTCTTGGTGGGCTCCTAGATGGAGGCTGGTCACCAGAAAGACCAAGCCATGATTAGAAGCTTTCAGCCCCACCTGTCATCCAGAGAAGCTAGAGATTGAATTCATAATTGATCACGCCTCCAAAAAAATCCCTGTATTATGAGGTTCTAAAAGTTTCTGGATTGGTGAACATACACATTTGCCCAAAGGGTGGTGCACCCAGACCCAACGGGAACAGAAACTCTTGTACTCCAGACTCTTGTGGACCTTGCCCTGTCTACCTATTCATCTGTATCCTTTATCATATCTTCTATTACATAATAAACTGGTAAATGTTAAATTAGTGTTTCTCTGAGTTCTGTGAGTTATTCTAGCAAATTATGAAATCTGTGGAGGGGGTCACAGGATCCCTTGATTTATAGCCAGTTGGCCAGAAATACCAGAGGCCTTGAATTGTGATTGGCATCTGAGATCGGGGCAGTCTTATGGAACTGAGTCCTTAACTTGTGGGATCTATTCAGGTAGATAGTATCAGAACTGTCTTCCATTGTTGGATACCTGGCTTGTATCAGATAATTGGTTGGTGTGGGAAAAAAATCCACACATTTAGTGTCAGAATTGTTGTTTCTTATTTAACTGTATATCCTGTTCTACATCTTGCTTGCTTTTAACTTAACAATATATCTTGGAGATTGTTTCAGATGGAGCCGTCTAGTTATTTTTTTTATTGAGATATAATTGAAATATAACATTAGTGTCATTTGTACAACATAATGATTCAGTATTTGTATGTTTTGGGAAATGCTCACCATGGTCAGTCTGGTTAATATCTATCACTATTCAAAGCTACAATTTCTTTTCTTGTGATGAGAATTTTTGAAGACTTATACTTTCTTAGTAACTTTCAGATAGTACAGTATTATTAATAATAGTCACCATGCTGTACATTACATCCCCATGATTATTTATTTTATAACTGGAATTTTGTACTTTTGACCACTTGCCTGCCTCTGGTAACCTGCCTCTGGTAACCACCAATCTGTTCCCTGCATCTGTGAGGTTTTTTTTTTTTTTTAATATTTCATGTATAAGTGAGATCATATGGCATTTGTTATTCTCTGACTTATTTCACTTAGCATAATGCCTTTATGGTCCATCCATGTTGTCTCAGATGGCAAGATTTCATTCTTTTTTTATGGCTGAATACTATTTCATTTTGTATATGTACCATATTTTCTTTATCCATTCATTTGTCAATGGACATTTAGGTTGTTTCCATGTTTTGGCTATTGTAAATAATGCCGTAATGAACACGCATATAATATTTCATTGTGTGAATATACAATAATTTATTTAACCACTTACCTGTTTCCCCCTATGGCACACATTTATTTTCTCAATCTTTTGCTATTACAAATGAGTAATCATGTACATAGATCTTGTCAAAGATTATAAATGTATTTGTAGTATAAACTCTGAGAAATAAAATTTTTGAATCAAAAGATGTGTGCATTTATAATTTTGATAGATAATAGGTAATACTAAATTGCCTTCATAGAGATATTGCTAATTTATGGCCTTACCAGTGTATTGTATTAGAATGCCTACTTTTCCATATATAGTATAGTTAAAATTTTTGAACTTTGCCAATTTGATAGGTAATAAATAGTATCAAGTTTTAATTTTTTTTCATGTCTGACAATGAGAGTTACTCAGTAGCTTGATGAGAAGTTGTGGTTATTTTTTTTAAAGATTATTTATTTATTTATTTGAGAGAGAGAGTGCCCAAGCATGCATGCACGCAGGGGGGAGGGACAGAGGGACAGGGGGGAGAGAATCCCAAGCAGACTCCTTGATGAACACAGAGCCTGATGTGGCGCTTTTCTCATGATTCTGAGATCACAACCAGAGCTGAAACCAAGAGTTGGATGCTTAATCCACTGTGCCACCCAGGTGCCCCTGTGGTTTTAATTTTTTAATGTACTGACTTTATAATACACTAAAAAATCGTTTTTGTACGGCAAAAAAAAATTTATCAGGATCTGAGACAGGGTGGAGAGGCTTGTGCTTGCTTCTCTCTTTTTCTCTTGTCATTTTGAATTCTTCATTGGTCCATGTATGTGCATATACTCATGGTTTGCCAGTGGCAGATCCCTGATAAAAAAGGCCACTTTGTTCATCTCCGACTTTGGTTCTGTTTCTCTGTTGATAATAGGTTCTTTTTCTTCTTCATGTATCTCAAAATTTTTTATTGACTGCCAAACATCTTGTGTAGAACAGTTGAAACCAAAGTACCTAGTATATTTATGCCCGGGAATGCACATGCCTGTTGTCACAGTGTTGAATTAGTCCAGTCAGAAGTCGAGCTAGGTTTTGGTTTTGTTGTTGCTATGGTTACCACCAGTTTCAAATTTCTGTACTTTACCTTGTGCGTAGGATGGGGGCTGGGTTGCTTGGAAGGTTTTTCTCAGTGTTCCCGTTTTATGCTCTGTTTTCTGCCTTGCCAGTGCAGGTAGCTGTGCCTCAGAGGGGGAGGTCTCTCTTTATACTCTTGCTCCTTCCCTAGTGTAGATTGCTGTTGCTTATTAGTGCTTGCTAGTCTGGAGATGGATGCAGGAGGGATTCTCTGTTTTCCAAACCAGACTTTATCTTAAGTGGGCCCAGTGTGGCTGGACCTTCGGGATGGGGTTTTCTCAGTATTTCTATCCCTTCTCCCCATAGTATTTCTCTACTGCTGGTCTTTGCCAGAGTGTCCAGGCCCTTACCCCCAGCTTTACTGTACTGGTAGAGGATACTGTGCTCCGGACTGTTTCCTGACCTACCCCTAAGGGTGGAAGTTTTTCTGTTTTTTCTTCTTTCTTTTCCCTATGCACATGGGTGATAACCTGTGCCCTACATGGTTTCAGGGTTACATGCCTTTCTAGCAGCAGTGGCTAATCTCTGTGCCTGTACTCTTTAGGGAGGCTTTCTGGTCTCCTGGCCTGCTCCAGTCTTTCCCAGGAGCATCTGGTGGAGGTCTGTGGAAAGAGCCTACAAATTGAGTATAGCCTACAAATTGAGTATGAATTCCCATTGTGTGTGAATGTCCCAGGGGCTTTCTAGTAGCCCTAACATTCTTACCTGTTTGCCTTCCTCTTATACTCTGCTACAGGTGAGAGTGTCCTGAGTATGCATGTGGAGTGGGAGAAGGGAATGTGGGCTGATTCTTCTTGAATTTAAGGCTACTTGGTTGACCTGTGATCTCAGCTTTGTGATGCATTCGAGAAAAGTTGTGATTTTATCCGACTCTCTAGTTGTTAATACTCTTTCCAGTTTTTATTTTTTAATTTTCATTTATTTGTATTATTGACTGGGTTTTATTCTTTTGACTTTGACATTATAAGCATAAGCAGAACTTCTGCATTTAGTTTCATGAATAAACCAGGGTCAGAGATATTAGTGAATTTATTTACATGATTATACTGAGAAATGAGATGTCCAGATGTTTGCATTCCATTAATAATTCTGTTTAGTTTGACAGAAGTTATGTATCACCATGCCCCCCAACTTCCATCCCCTAATTCCTCAATGTAAAGGGTTTTTCAGCCTTGAAGGGACTTGGATCTCTGGGGTCACAGATCTTCAAAGGTCTTGAAGTGAGCTTTATTATAGCACTGAATTTTTTTGTTTGTTTTATTTGAGTATGACCATGGAGTTACTTTTCCTTTCATGCTTTTGGAGTTAAGGGACAGATGAGGCAGGGGGAAAGTTATTACCTTAGTATAATCTCTCTCTTTTTTTAAAGATTTCATTTATTTATTTGACAGAGAAAGACACAGCGAGAGAGGGAACACAAGCAGGAGGAGTGGGAGAGGGAGAAGCAGGCTTCCCGCGGAGCAGAGAGCCCGATGAGGGGCTCGATCCCAGAACCCTGGGATCATGACCTCAGCTGAAGGCCGTTGCTTAACTGACTGAGCCACCCAGGCTTCACTGAGTATAATCTATTATTACCACTGAGTATAATCTATTATTACTCATTTAATCTATGTGGTTTAGGTACCCAGGTAACTGCAGCTAAATTTTCTTTGATTCAGACTGCCAGGCATTTTTCCCTCACCTTGGCAAAAACCTTTTTTAAGTATGATTTATTTTTATTCCCCAAGAATCAAAGTATTTAAGCTCTCCTGATAGGGCCTTACATAATTGCATGAACAACAGAGGTCTTCTGGATATGATTCTAATGAATAAAGATAGGCATTTTTTGGAGGGTCATGGAAAACTGGCAGTGGGTCTATTAAATTAATTATTGACAGATTTTGTTCAGTTGTGCTTTTTTTTAATTTTGGAAGAAAGTGTTTTTTTAGAGTCCTATTTGATCTCTGTTATAATGATATTATGCTTTTTTTTCTTTAAAAGTGTTCCATTTGTAACTTAAAAATATTTTTACTGAATCACCTCAAATATTTTGTGAAACAAGGACCAAAGTATAAATAAACAAATTGCTGTATACTCAATGCACTCTATGTATCAGACTTCTATTGGGTGTTGCATATATTTATGAATTTAAAAATCATGTTTCAGTCCCTGGGGAATCTGATATTAATTGCAATTTGAATGGACAGGTTTGGCCATGATAAAAAATTTTGTGGTGAAATCAGCATTTATGTAAAGTAAGTCTGTAGGTTACAGCTAGGACATTTATTTGTTTTGTTTAGATGGAGAGTATTTTACTAAAACATTCTCTTTAGGCTCCTTCTTTTATTGGCCTCCCTATTCTTTTACTAAATATAAAATAAAAATGTGATTTCTCCAGTTTGGAAGATTTGGAATTTTGTGGAGTACTTCCAAAGTAGCTATTGAGGCATGTTGCATCCATCCACTTGGACACCTGCTTAGACTTGTTGTCATCAGTCCAGAAGGACACCTGTGTCCCATTAAAAATGAGCATTGTCATTATCTGCTATTCTGTGAATTGCTTATTAGCTGGGAGGATGCTGTTAGTTGTGGTAATAAGGATTCATTGAGGGCTAAAAAGTGTGAATGGAATTATACATTGGATTGGATTTTGAGTTTCTTTTTTAAAAATTTATTTTACTGTCATCTGTTTCTTTCACATAAATTTTATAGGACCTGTATTAGTTTTCTGTTAACAAATTACCACAAACTTTGTGGTTTAAAACATCAGAAGTTTGTTATCTTGCAGTTCTGTAGGTCAAGTCTGTCATGGATCTCATGCTAAAATCAAGGTGTCAGCAGGGCTTCCTTCCTCTCTAGAGGGTCTAGGGGAGTATCTGTTTCTTCTCCATTCCCACTTTGGAGAGGTTACCGACATTCCTGGGCTTGTGGCCCCTTTCCTCCATCTTCAAAGCCAGGAATGGCAGATTCCCTTTCATGCTCGAATCTCTTCTGTCTCTTCCCATCTCTTTCAAATGTAGGGGGGAAAGGGGAAAGTTTCTGTGCTTTCAAGGACTTGTGTGATTAGATTGGCCCCTGGATTATCCAGATAATCTCCCCATCTCAAAGTCTTTAGCCCAAGCACATCTGCAAAGCCTTTTTTGCCATGTAGATAATAACATCGTTGGAAAGCCATTATTCTGCTTACAACAGAACTCAAACCTTTTTCTAGAAATATTACTTAACTAATTTAAAACTCTGTGGTCAAAAGATTATAGGTGTGATTTGAAATAGTGTTGAGAAAATGTATCATATTATCTCTAGCTCTTTTTTTTTTTTTCTGTCTTCTTAGGTTTAAACTCTTATCTGTTCTCTTAACTTACCTGTTGAGAGTATTTTCCTAGATATTTTGTAAACACCTTGTTAGCTTTTGTTATATACCAAACCACTCAAGAATTCTTTATCATTGCCCGCACATCTGTGGTCAGCTGATCAAAGCTAGGTTTGGATGGGTGTCTCTTGGGACTTTGGCTGGGCTTGCTGCACATCTGTGAGTCTGCACATCAGTTGTGAATTGTCCAATCTAGCCTGGGGCTTTGTGGGGGCAACTCTGTTTCACAATCTCTTATTCTCCTGCCTTTGGAGTGGCACAAGCATGTTCTTATGGAAATGGCAGAAATACAAGCATGCAAGTGGAAACATATGAAGCTTCTTATTGGCCTAGGCTTAGAGCAGAGAACTATCACTTTTGCTTTGGCCAAACTAGTCACATGACCAATCCAAGTGCTGGGACATATGCTCTACCCCTTTAAATGGGAGGAACTGCAAAGTCATTCAGCAAAGTGACTTGAATGAAGAGAGGGGATAAAATTAGGGTCGATGATGCAACTAACCCTACACTCAAACTCTGTATTGCCCCAAACTGAACTCATCTCACAAGAAACCTGTTTTGTCTTTATTTCTGGTCTTAATGATACTACGCTATGCCTGGTCACCCAAGCCAGAAACAGAAGTATTGTATAAAAATAGTCTTCTTTTTTCATCTTTATTTTTCTGCAGTATTTACTTTATAAATATCTAATCTCTCATCTTCTCCAGCCTATCACCATCACTGCTGTCATACCTCCTTGAGAAGAAAGGGAGGGGCTAGTCTTTATATTGTCTCCAATCCAACTTCCTTCAAATCTATCTCTTATATTGTAGCCGGAATATTCTACTGGAAATACAGATGTCACTCCTGTTCTGTAGCTTCTCATTGCCTCTAGCGAAGGCCCTCTATGATCTAGATTCTCCAGCCCCATCTTCAGATGTTTCTTGCCTTCTGTTTTGCCTGGTAGTTCAGGAGACAGCAAACTATGTCTAGTGGGCCAAAAAATCTGTTCTACCATCTATTTTTGTATGGTTCATGAACATAGTTCTTACATTTTTAAGTGATTGGATAAAAAAAGAAAAAACAGTATTTTGTGACACATGAAAATTAGGAAATTTAAGCCATTTGTTTGTAAATAACGTTTTATTGGAACATGGCTACACTCATTCATTTTTCAATGTCTATGGCTGCTTTCACATTACAGTGGCATAATTGAAATACTGAGGTAAGAGACTATAAAATATTTGCTGTCTGGCCCTTAGAGAAAAATTTTGTCCCTCTCTGCTCTCGTCAGAATTTATAATAGCTCTCCTTGTGTACTTGTATTCTGTTTGATGACTCAATACTTTTATTATGTTGTTTCTTTGCCTGGCTAACTCTACTTTTTAAGGTAATAGCTTTATTGAGATATAATTTACATAGCATTCAATTTACCCATTTAAAGTATACAGTTCAGTGGTTTTTAGTATATTCACACTTTTGCCACCATCACAGTGTTATTTTTAGAACATTTTTGTTAACTTGCCCTAAAACCTCATGCCTATTAGCAGTTAGGCCCCATTTTTCTAACCTCCTCTCCCAGCCTTGGACAATCACTAAATCTACTTTCAGTTTCTATGGATTTGCCCATTCTTGATGTTTCATACAAATGGAACCATAAAATATGTCATCTTTTGTGACTGGCTTCTTTCATTTGCATAATGTTTTTAAAGTTTATACTTACTGTAGCTTGTATCAGTACTTCATTCCTTTTCACTGCTGATTAATATTTTATTGTGTGGATATATCATATTTTGTATCCATTCATCTGGGTTATTGAACATTTGGGTTTTTACTTTTTGCCTGTTAGGAGTAATGCTCAGTGAACATTTGTGTACCTGTTTTCATGTAGTCATATGTTTTCGTCTCTCTTGGGTATATACTTGGGCTAACTCTTCCTTATCCTTCAAGAATTGATGTTAGGGTCATCTTCTCTAGAACAGTTCCCTAGCTTCCTAGACTGGATTAAATGTCTTCCCTGTGGCTCCGAGAACACTGTGTCAAAGTACTTACCCATTGTATTGAAATAATCTGTTTGCATGTCTGTCTCCTCTATTCCTCTAAATTTTTGGAGAGCAGCATCAATGCCTTATCCAACTTTGGGTCAGCTGCAAACAGTATAAAAGTTTACTTAATATTTGTTCAACTAGAAACATTGTAAAGCAGTCTATGCTTTTGAATTAAAATAAGCTTAAAAAATAAAAATAAACTTTATCTTTTGTTATTTTTTGTGTTTTATGTACATTGGCTTTTTATTTTTTATTTTTTTAAAGATTTTATTTATTTATTTGAGAGAGACAGACTGAAATAGCGAGAGATATAGCCAGAGAGCTTGAGCGGGGAGGAGAGGGAGAAGCAGGCTCCCAGCTAAGCAGGGAGCCTGATGTAGGGCCTGATCCCAGGACCCTGAGGTCATGACCTGAGCCGAAGGCAGATGCTTAACCGACTGAGCCACCCAGGCGCCCCTACATTGGTTTAAAAAAAAAAAAGTTTCTTAGAATATGTACTGAGATAACTGATCTTGAATTTGTCTTTTTTTAAGGCCTGCAAAGAAAACAAAAAAAGGTGTGAAAGACAAAGCATCAGATGAGAAAAAAGATGAGATAGAAAAAATAAAGTCATACTCCTTTATGGAAGGCGAACCTGAGGATGATGTCTACTTAAAGCATTTATACCCAAGACAGATATATGAGGTGGAGAAAGCTATTCAGTTACTTAAGAAATTTCAAACTCTAGACTTTACTAATCCAAAGCAAGGTGTTTATCTTGATTTGACACTGGATATGGCACTGGGGAAAAAGGTATGTAGACTCAACTAAAATTTATTTGTGAACAGGGACTGTATGAATTGCTGTTTCTTAATTTTTAAAGTTCCTTGTTAACTATAATAATTTTTGGGAAGTCTTATGCTCTTTCTATACTATGGGATGAAAAATTTTGTTTTTTTTTTCCAAATATAAAAATACGTTGAACATGCTCTGCAGAGTCGATGAACATTTATCTCCTAGCCTGAAAATCACTGGTATAAATTTCAGCAAAAGTAGTGTTAAAATTAATTGAGGTATTACTGTAACTTTGAAAAATGACTTAAGCTGCCTGGGTGTCATATTCCTTTTCTGTAAATGAGGGTTTGGGATTAGAGGTATGTTCCTTGGAGTCCTGCGTTGAGACTAAGTTTGCATCAGTGGGGTGCCAAGCCCCTCACTCTTGCTTCAACCAAAACTTTTCTGCTTTATTTGTTTATATGCAGTTCCTTGGATGACTTTTGTTTATAAAACTCTAAAAGTAGTAAAAATACTGAATTAGAGTTGAGGTGCATTACAACTCTAGATCTCATTTAAGAAATCTAATTTTCTTGGAAATTGTATTTTAATATTTATTCTGAGGATGTCTTTTTTTGGTCAAACTAGAAGGTACAGATTTTTGAATACAATTTAACAATCTCCACAACAACAATAGTTGAACACTTAGGAGGAGGCTGTATAGTGTAGCGCTTAAGAGCATGGGCCCTGGAATCAAATTACAGTACAGGCCAGAATCCTGGCGTCACCACTTACTTGCTTTTTGACTTTGGGTTTCTGGTTTAACCTTTTCAGATCTATTTTTTCCCCACCTCTTTATAAAGGGATATAAAATGCTTACTTTACACAGTTTTTAAGAGGATTAAATGAGACAGTGCATGTAAAGGACTTGCTAAGTGTTTAATAATCACAATCAACATTTACAGGAAACTTTCTGTGTACCAGCCACAATGCTAAGTGCTTTGCATGCATTTTCTCATTTAATCCTATAATAACCTCAAAAGAGGAAGCTGAGACAGAGAAACTGAAGTAACTTGTTCATGGTCACAGAATAAGTGGTGAAGTTAGGATTTGAATCAAGGTCTATCTTATTTCGTAGTTCTTATTTCTTAGAAACAGTTTATACCAGCCATGCTGTAATTTTATTTTATAGCACAGTTTTACTGTTAGTTCTTTTATTTTAAAAATGTTGTAGTATCCAAGATACTTTCTCACTTTCTCAGTCAGCCATTAATGTACTGTTGACCCTTGTTGACCCTTGAATAACATAGTTTTGAACTGTGAGGATCCACTTACATGCAGAGTTTTTTTTTTTATAAAGGCAGTATACTACTATAAATGTATTTTCTCTTTCTTATTTTCTTAATATTTTCTTTTCTCTAGCTTTCTTTGTTATAAGAATACAGTATCTAATACATACAGCATACCAAATATGTGTTGGTTGACTGTTTATGTTATTGATAAGGCTTTTGGTCAATAGTAGGCTATTAGTAGTTAAGTTTTGGGGGAGTCAAAAGTTACCTGCAGCTTTTCCACTGTGCTGGGGGTAGTGCCCCAACACCCGAGCTCTTTAGTGGTCAACTGTGATTCATAATGAAGAGTTGTAGGACCACAAGCTTCATTTCATAAATGAAAGCCACTTGTAGACTATTAACATTGAAAGGGTACTATTGTCTTCTTAAGACATTTTTTGTTTTTGATAGGGTGCTTATACAACAAGCCAGTATTTCCCCAGGGGATGCTTCTATTGTGATTACTTGCCATTGAAATATTTACTGAAACTAGTTGTGACACGTTAATGGCAAAGGAATGCCAGTCGGTAAAATTGTCTGATGTCAAGTGTGCTTAAGAGTTTGTTCTTTTTTTTTTTTTTAACCAATGTTGGTACTTTATTATTATTATTTTTTAAAGATTTTATTTATTTATTTGACACAGAGAGAGAGAAAT